AATTATAATCCGATTGATCGGATTGCCTCGCGAAACAAAAGCCTCGTGAGAGACTTTACCTTAATCTCTTTGAGGATCATCATGAGCTCGTTTCGGGCGCAGAAACACGCGTTTTGAAGTATCGTTTCGACCTGAGGACCAGGCGTCTCTGGCGGATGCGGATGATGATGCGGCGTGTGACCAATCTGAATCGCTGCCGGATAAGAGGAGTGTGCCAGTGGCGTTGAGTGTTGATGATGCGGCGTTGCAGCGTGGCTGTGATGATGATGGGGGGTCGCGTGTATGTGACTGTGCCCATGGCCCATCGTGTGATGGTGGGGGCCAGGGGTACTGTACACGTTGTTCAACAGATTATTGTGGGACGCCAGAGCGTTGTCCTCGAGGTCCAGGACATTCGCTAGGAGGGACTTGCTGCTCCTTTGACGAAGCTCCAGGTCACCGTGACTCTTGCTGGCACCTGTAACCGTGAATTATTATAATGAATAGCTGGTAAGAACGATGACCAGTCAGCTTGATCTTTGTTGTTAGTATTTATAAATTTGGAAATGTGATAAGATTGGAAAGAAGAATAAATTGATGAACATTGTATCATCTTAAATATTAGCTATTTTTGAAGATATAATAGGAAGATTATATGACTAATTTGATAAAATTTAATAAATTTAAATATTAGCTATTTTTGAAAATTCTTTTGATTTTGTAGATATAATAGGAAGATTATATGACTAATTTGATAAAATTAATAATAAAAAAATTAATAATTAATGGGAAATGTAGACATAACAATTTACAATAAGGAAATATTTTAAAACAATAATAAAAGTGTATGTACAGCATATCTATCAAAGAATAGATAAGAATGATAAAGTAAAATAAATAAAGAAAAGTTTTTTAATTTTGTATGACACAATAGTTTTTGAGAAGAATAAATAAATAAATAAATACACAATAGGAAAATATCTTGTGTATATACAATAAATATATAATCTGTTAAAGAATAGATAGGAATGGTAAATTAAGAAGAAACGGATGATTGATTTCTGGCAACATTTCACTTTCTTCTTAATCTCTTGCTTATACACATGCACATGACTTAAAAACAAGTCAGGTGTGTTTAATCAGGAGTTTCTGTGGTTCATTTCAGTGAGAGTGGCTGAGAACGGTGTTCATGGTGACACATTAAAACACATTGAAACATTTATATAGATATAAATAAGTATAGTAAATGTTGTCAGTACTTGTGTCGATGCTTTTTCGTGTCACTAAATTACCGGTGACTGGAGACGGTTTTTGAGATTTTTGCGCCTCCCTCTCCTCCTTATCACTTGGTCGTGACATACGAAGTATACAAGGCAGCCAATAAAGGAATACCACTTTCACCTGAAAGTTTGAAGTGCGATCTATAATAAATAAATAAATTATACTCTAAAATAAGATTAATTGAAAGATACATTATTCAAACACGTTGCTCCATATATAATTATTATTAACTGCATAATTTTATTTTAGATGAAATATAAGAGAGAGAATATAAATTGATTTTCTATGTTATAGAAGAAAAAAAAAATTAAGGATTTAATAGGAAATGGCGTTTATGAGATTCTCAAAATCCAAAGGATATGGTAGACAATAAAATAGGTGGACGAGGTGGAAGCTTAGTATCACTCGAAAGGGTGAATCCAGTTAACGACCAAAGTAAACCTGAAGTGTACTTGGAAGCACATGAGCTCACGCTAATTGAAGTCACATATACGATGGGATCATCCAAGAAACCACTTCGCACAGTGAGGATAGAGAAAACGAGGAAAATCCTCGAATTTTAGTCATAAGAAATAAAATGAAATGTATTTTATTAAACTTTCATTATAATACATATTTTATATAGATATAAATAATTCATAAATTTATTTGAATAATTTGTTGAAAAAAAAAAAGAAATTCTTTGAAATATATTTTTAAGCATGGTCAATTATTGACACATTTGCATTTGCCGACGAAAATTCATGTTATTTCAAATGCTGTTTTTGCTGATAGTTGCCGCTGATGTAAATTTATATCATTTGTTTCTTTGATCTTTCTCATGTATTTAAAATTTAATACTTTCTCTCTTTGAATTTATAACGAGAAAATCTTTTAATTTTGTATATTCTTAATTGTTAATCTAAAATTTATTAATAATAAATTTTGTAATTTTTAATGACAGAAGATTGCAACAATCCCATCTGAATAAGTTTTTTTATTTAAAATTCAAGTAAATTTAAAATCAATAGTATTTGAAAATACACAAATAATAAATTGATTTAAAATAATACATTTTTTAAATTCCAAATTATTCAAATAAAAAATTATTCTGAATAATTGTAAAGTAATAAATAGCATGTTACAAACAATATTTCAAACAACAATTATTATTTTAAATGTAATTCACGTTTATAGTTTTTGAACCTAACATAAAAACTATAAAAAAAAAACAAAAAATTCATAGAAACATGTGTTCCATTTGACCTTGTTTTCGAGTTACAATTTTACATTGCAATATACCAATCAATGTATACCATAGCTTTGAAAATACCTTAAATAGTTCAAAAATCTCTTTTAATTGACAAACAATTGAAAACAAAATTCACTATAACTGGAAAACAAAGCGAAGATTTGCACAAAACTCTTCTCAACTTGTTTTCTTAAATTCCACTATTAAAGTAAATTATAACTTACCCATTCAGACATTTCGTGAGTGTCAGCATTCCGATGATGATAATTTAAAATAAGAATGGTGCTGACAACACTGCTGGCCACCATAAACATAATACAGTTGAAGTACGTTCCTGTGGAAACATGACATGAAATTCAAAAAAAACTATGAAAACGATTCGTTCAATCGTTCATTCAGAAAACCATACAATGTTAAAATCGATTTGGATCATTCAGAATCGAAATAAATCAATCGTGCAATTTCAATCTCTCAGCCCAATCAAGATGTCAATGGACGTTTGTCGTCTGACCCGCACCATCTCTTACTACTGTCAACCAACTATTACTACTACTACTATTACTAATACTATACTACTACTGTCAGAATCGAGCTTTGACTGCAATAGACGGAGTCGTCAATTCGGTCGGGGATAAAGGACTGCGTACAATAAGCCTCACATTACGATGTGCCGGCCAGATGTACGTGATCCAAGACGTCTCTGTATAGATCCTCCTACGAGGAGAAGGTTGTACGAAACACCAAAGAATTTTCATAGGAATAAGTCTCGACTCGATTCTCCTCGATAACAATGTGGAATGTTTTTCCATTGAAAGCTAAATGACTTGTAAATGGAGATGAAATCAGACGGAGAGATTGATGAATTATATATTTCCTTTGCTTTTTTTTTTTGGAATCAAAAAATATCCTTGATATTAGCAATATCAATTCAATTTCAAATTCAAATAATTTGCAAGCAGAAAATTCAATGCATAATTTAATTAAATGATTTAAGTTTTTTTAATAGTACATGTGATAATCTTTTCAAAAATGTAGATTTTATTAAAATATATAGGTTTCTGTATACACAAAATATATTTTGATATTAATTGATATATACATTCCCTCAAATATCAGACATTAAAAAACGCTAAATTTTCAAAAAATACAGCTTTCTTGGAGCCATTTTCGCCGAGTTATAACTTATTTAGGGATAAAGACGAACGAGAAGATACAATTTTCTAACAAAGACACATTGAAAATGTTCGAGGGAATGACGGACAAAGGGAGATAGAATCGGGAGGCCCCTACACGTATATTTCATTCCTCAGCGGGCTCCAATCCAAATTTTCAATGAAAACCGCACGTTGAGAAACCGTACAAATCTAAACTGAAAAGACAGAATCCACTGAATCATCTCCCAAAAGAATTCCATGGGAAACCTTTTCTCGAAACCTTTATCTTACATCCGTCTCGTTCTCAAATATTTAAAATATTTTCTTTCTATTTGTTGTTAACGTTGTATAACCATTTAAAAAAAAATCTTGACTCTATTTCGGTTAAAAAGACGACTGTGAGAGTGAAACGAAATCTCGACGAGACGCAAAGGGGTTGAAAATTGACGGGCTTACCCAGCAGAGGCACGGCGTCCGAAGTCGCTGGCATTGTCTCGGCCACCATATTCAGGAACACAGTGAGGGACAAGAGGATGGTTACCCCTGCAAAAGAGGTTCGTTCGACCAATTAATTATCACCAACGCGATTAATCCATAACCAAACGAGATTAATCCATAACAGGGTGAGAGACTCGCAGCTGATGATGCTCTAATTAAAAATATCATTATAAATCTATCTAATTTTGCAGGATATAAAATTCTTTTGATTGATTGCTGTTAACAAATTTTACGTGACTTAAATTTTTTCCTTTCTATATTTTTAATTCTGTAACTTTTTTCTTTGACTTTGAAATATTCGAAATTTTAAAATTTCAGTATTAACAAGTATTATCGTATATTTTAAATATTTATATTATGAATAAATTGGTAAGTGAAATGAAAAACTGAAATAACTAAGAGAATAATATTCATTAGTTTCTGAGAAAGCAATTTCTAACAGTTTATTGAAACTACTAAATATAATTACTATTGCAAGATTGATTATTAATTTCTCTCATTTAACTGTTAATTCCTAGCATCGAAAACGCTTTGTGATGTTCGCCATATTTATAAAGGATAATTTCACGTATTTGAGCGTAAAACCACGAAGGGTCGTGGTCGATCAATAAACTCGTGTATTTCACCGGCACACGAATATCTATGATCGACATCGACGCGGCAGCAATCTCCCATACAATTCAATACGTTACGAGAACTTCGACTGAATCTAATCACGTGAGCTGTTATAGCGTGCTCCGAAGCCTGCAAGGAATTGCAATTATGCTAGCAAGCGATTTCAACTTGCTGGAAGTGAGTAATCATCGGAATCTCGGGTTGGACTCATAATGAAACAATGCGATGGCTTTGCGAACGCATCGATATCTACATTGTTGACTTTTATTCCGACTTTTATTAATAATTAAGAATTTTTAATTTTTTTTTTTTATTCATTTCTGAAACCTCAAAATAATCTCGATGAAATCTTTCAGATTTCTATATTATACATTTATTGCTTGTCTATTTAAAAAGGAGAAAATATCGAAAATAAATATCGTTAGATATTTATAAAAATACTTGTATCAATATTTCTGACTTAATTGTCAGATGGATTGACATTATTTCAAAAGTTTAAATTAAATGATTCCAATTTTAAAATTTTAATGATCAAGGTTTATTCTCTACCATTCTATTCTTAGAAATTGTTATTTGACCTGCAAATAAACGTTTGCTACGAAAATGGAAAAATCTCAAGGAACATCTCTCATATCATTTTCTTGCGACATTTAATAGCGGTTATCCAACTTACCTAGAGATAGTTTCTCGCCGGAATCGGGTGGCAAGGTGAATCCCAGAACGGCCATGCTGGCAATCAGGACACACGGCACGATCAGGTTGAAGAAATAGTAAAGAGTCCGCCTTCTGATGATCACCACGAACGTTATATCTATATACGGTTCTGGGCAGCAATTGTAATAAATTTCGTTTCTTTTACCGGGCACCCCTGTAACGAGACCATGAGGAAATATATGAAAAGGCAAATCGCCACGAATTTTTTCGATACGTGAAAAATTTTGATATTTAAAATAGAGAATATATACAATGAACTTTGATTCTAATAATTTTAATAATCGAATAATGTGGATTTTAAATAAAAGAAATTCGATTGATGAGATTAAATGAAAAAGATATATAAGGATATAATATTTTTGTTTACAGAAAATGGAGCTCATAAACGTTGTTTTTCCAGTCCAAAATTAAATTATTTGACATTCAATAAAATAATTTTTGCGTATTCGTTTAAGAGAAAGAGAAGGGATGAATGTGTGTAAGAAGTTAAATTTTGTTTTACTAGTTTTTAACGATGAATATCGGATAAAGCAAGCGCTGTATAATTACTCTGAGATATCGTTGATTGTAAATGTAAATTTCAACTTGAATATACGAGTTATAGGAATAATGGATTCAAATAATATGCTAAATAATTCGATTTATGATATAATCTCAGTAGATTTTGATACTGTGAAATTTTCGCAGTATAACACGAAAAAAAAAATAAATAAACAAACAAAATTATAATTTTACCCAATATTGAATTCTCTCAACTCGAATTACAAAGGTAAAACAATTCATCTAAAACGCGTGATAAATAATTCGTCTCATAGGAAATTCAAATTTCGATCCGACACAGAGATTTTCACAGAGATTATCCAGATTTCCGAATCACGGAATTGACTCCTTGAATTCGATGATAAAATAACGCGCCTAAACTAATACGCGAAAAATAATCTCAATCTTTCTTCTCTTCTAGTTTTTTCAACACAGATTCAAGTTATTGTTAAATTGAAGTTTTAATATAGAAATTGATGCGACGAGCACACAAAGAGTCTTCAAAAGTGGCGTGAAAAACAAAGAGTTCGTAGAAATAATAGAAAAGAAAAAAGAGTAGATCCAATATCGATGACTCGGCCATTTCATCTAACAGCTTGCTCGAATTACACCGGTGAAGAAGAGACGGTGACTTCATTTTCGAGTGTTCCTTCGATTACATCCACATTCTGCTCGGCTCACTTAAGATACATTTCTGGCTTTCATAAGCTCTCTATGCATACCGCGTATACACCGCGACACCTTACGTGCATACGTGCATCCCGGAAATACAAGCTACGTGGCCGTGCACAACGTGACATTTTTATATTCTACATAATTTGCATTTTGCAAAACCGCGCTGTCTACTAGCTGTTATCTTAGCTGGAAGATATATTATTCGGTGAATCATGTTTTATTTTTTTTTATTTTGTTATTAAAATGTCGCGTGTGCTCTCAGGATACTTGTAAAATTGATATTCTTCGGGGAATAGATTTGTTTTTTGGGTTGAGAAAGAATTGTGTGTGTGATAGGCGCGACTGGAAAATTGATATTCGTTAAGGAATTTTAAATACTTTATTTTTGTAGCGAGAGAAGAAACTGTTTTGTAATTTTTTTGATTTTAATAATTGTAATTTTTTATAATGATATCATTTATATTTCATGATCAAGGTAAATATATTATTTATTAGTATACAATTTTACTAAAAATACTTTTATATTTTTAATACATAGATATAATTTAAGTATTTTTATTCTCTACTTATACTCTTATCATTATTATGTTCTATATTATAAAATAAATTTCGTAATTATAAAGATTTAAGTATTTCAATAAAAAATATTTAAAAAGTTACTTGGATGATGAAAATAAGACATAATTTTTCTCCGTTAAGAAGATATTGACATTAAAATTCGAAAGAAAGTTTTTTTCTTACATTATATTCAATTATTTCGAAATGGAATATTCTCTATATAATTTAGTGAAATTAGAAAAATTTGAATCAATTAGATACTTAAATACACTTCACATAAATTTGTGATAATTTTTTAATTAATTCGATTTTATTTTTTTAAATCAAAATGAATTAGAATTTATACAGTGATATAAAAAGCAAATTAAACGTTTCTGACAGTCAATTAACAATTTTCCAGTTTGCCAATCGAGAAATATGCAGTTTGGGGAAAAAAGAACCACGTGAATTCGCTTCCATTGAAGGAAGATTCTGTTCAAGGCAAACATTGCGCGATATCCCGCAGTATGGAAGTAAATAATTCAGCATGCGACTACGCTAATGATGCATTATTAAAGAACCTTATTCGGCCATTATTTGTCGAAATCCTATTAAAAATTCGAATCAAATATTCCTTTCTTCGTGAGGTTAAAAATTTCCAACTGTAATTTCCCAAAATTTAAAATCACAAATATAACATCTCAGAAGTATAAAGAAGAATTAAAATATATATATTAAATAATAAATCTAGATAGATATATATTTTATCATTGAATTCTACAAAATTAATCAACAAATATTCATTCTGTAATGAATTTAGGAATAATTATTTCTTTATTTTTTTAAGTATTTATAATTACTATTATTACTATTTAATTAAATTATCAAAAATATAAAGAAGAATTAAAATATATATATTAGATAAATTTAGACAGATATATATTTTATCATTGAATTCCATATTGAAATTAATGAACAAATATTCATTCTGTAATAAATTTAGGAATAATCATTTCTTTATTTTTTTAAGTATTTATAATTACTATTATTACTAGTTAATTAAATT